TAGCCCAAGTAGGTTGGCGGTGGGTGGTGATGACTAGCTGCCTTCCCTCTAGTCTTACACTGCTAAATTAGGGACGGCTAGCGTCAGATAGCCCTCGTGTAGCTTTGTGCGAAATTCAAATTTATCGTAGGCAAAGTGGCACGCTAACAAGGTTTAATCTAACACGTGTTGCTACAGGTAAGTATTTGTACTCCCCCCCCTCTCCCCAACACACACACACACACGAGATAGTTGTATAGCAGTAAATAACAGCTACCAATGGCGCCATCTTCATGTGTGTATTTGTTTTTTCGCTCTGGATGTTCCACGGCTGGATGTTAAGTAACAAACAAAATCAACCAAGTCTCCTCAGTTTGCGATGAAACAACATTTATAAGAGTTCTGATGATTTGGTAGTCTGCGGTTCGTCAGACGAATAATATTTGTCCGTGGGAAATCCTCTGTAGTAGAGGAACAATTGGTAGTGGTCTGATTGTATTAGATACAGTATACGTTTCATAAGTTGTTTATATCACAATTAAGGAGGAAAAAATTAAAAAGTTTAATTTATTTGTTTTTAGCACGAAGTTACACAATGGGGAATATGCGTCCTTTCCACCGCAGGGTATTGAACCCAGGATATTAGCGATGTAAGTCCCTAAACTTACTGTTGACCCACTGAGGGACAAATACCTGAAAAACAGCTTTGAATAAAGTTATCCCTATCCCCAACAAGTCCCCCCCCCCCTAACACACCCGATGACTCAGCGGTAAGACTGAAGGCTTATAACATAAAAATTATGTTTCGATACCCACGGTGGGCAGAGCACAGATAACCCATTGTGTAGCTTTACGCATAACAAACAAACAATCAAACGCCGAATTTGCATGATTCAAAGTTAGCACCTGGTTGTTACTGTAAATTGTTTTATTTTTACAATATTAAAAGTGCAAAGTGAAATGATAGTTTTATTTGTTTCATATAAATATTTTTATTTTTAATGCCTGCTAGTTATAAATTCCGATTAATTAATGTGGTGATTTATTGATGTAGTTAAAAAAAATCTCAAAATAAACCGTTTGAGATTATTCTTGTTTAATTATAACACGAACACCTACTGTCTGTTAACACTTTGATACGGTCTTTGGTTTTATGCGTTTTTTTCTTCATTTTCATTTCATAACTTTTCAGCCTTTTTTGAAAATAAATCATTATAAGTATGTTTAAAGTATCCTAGGTCAGGGGTTCCCAAACTGGGGTTGCGGACCCCCGTAGGGTCGTAACAAATATACAGTACCGTTAATTAAGGTACAAAATATCTATACGTTCATTTGGTGAGAGGTTTCAGTAATAATGCAGAATGTTCTGGAGGACCTTTTGCTGAAAACGTTTGGTCACCGACCTAGGTTACTGTTACGTCTCTGTTCGTTTGTTAATTTCCCGTAAAAATTATTTCCGAAGAACTTTAGCGATACAAGTCCTTTCTTAAATAAAACTAGTTTATTCTTTCTCAATACAACTTTGCAATACACTTAATTTCCACAGTCACTTTAACTTCAACACACGCTATAATTCACAACGATTCACGCACTTTACGTACGGTCACTACCACTCACTTGACTCAATTATCTGTCTATCTGCAATTATATCTCCGCTTTATTTGCCGGGCTTATATACTAAAATAGAGGGCGTCTAGCAAACGCTGGGACATTCATGAGGTTCTCCGACCCTTCTAGAATCTCATTGCGTGTTACCAGGGTCACGTGACTTCCGCTGTCGTAACATTAGTAAATTTGGATTATGAAATCTTTATGCAAGATTCATCATTAATTTTCGATCAATCTATCTATTTTTTTAAATTTCAGCTAGAATTAGTGTATATATATTTAGGTTTATAAATTATATGCTCTTTACTTAGTTTCACTGCTAATTTTTATATAGATAGATAGATTTGAGTGAGAAGATAATATAAAATGTATATATATATATATTTTAAAAATATAGAAACTTGTTTCAGATCAAAAATGTATTCCATACCAAAGGAAAATATTAGAATGAAAACGGGCGTCTTAAGAAACGCGGCTACTCAAACACCGAGGGGGCAATGTGACGCTGAAAATTTTCATAGCGGAAGCCTAATAAGTCTAGAAAATCATCTAACTTGGACGGTTTGTTTTAATGATGAAGAAGCAGCGGTGGACATTATAAGTCCACAAGTTCAGTTAGGGCAACGTTATAGTGATATAAAGAATACCTTTACTGATCAAGAACTGGCTGAAATAAGTACAAAAGAAAGTGGCAGCTTACATCGCCAGCGCACAGAAAACGGTGTCGGGTTTCTGCACAACAGAGCAACGTTACCAGGCCTAACGTCAAACCACTTTAAAGTCGCCAGTTCCCAGGAAGAATGCCACAAACCAGACCAACTCTCGCTAGATGACATCCACATAACAATGCTATCCGTAGAAGACTCCAGTCCTCAACAGTGTTCTGCTCCAAACTTGATGGTAGAGGAAGGTGACAATGTGTATACCGTTTGTGGAGAAACGGTAAAAAATACAACAGACCTCCAAAATGAGATTAAAAATGACACGAATAACGTAAACCCAGGTGTAGTTACAAGGTAAGTCCATTATTCCTACGGAAAGTTTCTAAGCGATATTTCTAGTTTCTAATTTTAATTTGTAATTGATACAAAAAATCAATATGTTATTACTTATTAGTAAAGTTTTATATGTCATTCAGCCTACAGGCTGGGCCTAATACTGCAATAAAGCAGACCGCTTTGTGAACTATATTCTCTACCACAGGCTTGTGTAATAAGTGTGTCTAGTTTTTATATGGTGCCTTTAATAGTTTAGTAATACTTTCACACACCCAATCCAGTTTGTGAATAATCACTTATTTTCTCATTATGATTTGAGGCCTACGTAATATACGCGGGAAATAAAAGTAGTTGCTCTGTGAAGTTTTATCGTTTTTTGTTTTTTTTTTAATCAGAAAAGCTTCAAGCAAAGTGTGTGTACCAGAGCATAGCTTAATACATAGATATAATTATTATGTACGTTATGAAACAAAACTACCTTTAATATGTCAGATATTAACAATGACCACTTCACAGTATTGGCTGAGCAAAACTAAAGCTTATTATACTTATAAAGTTACCTAAATCGCTACACGTGTTTATGGGGTGATTCAAAATTTCAGTATCTGAATTACTTTTCATCTAAGAAACTTTTACAGACAAGCGTACAGAAAAAATTACGAACATTATCGCTGTAATTTTTTCATTATCATAACTCCTACGTCTTGGGTCCCAATAATTCTTTTCTTGTACCGAAAATAATACTAGTATATATATATATATGTAAAACATACGATGCGCTACTTTAGGCGTATAATTAGGTTTGAGGGTAGGTTGGTAGAGACCTTAATGAGTAAAATCAAATCGGGTATACACGCTCTCTACACTTGTTATTGCTGGCGCACAAAAATGTAGCTAATAAAAAGGAAACAAATTAGTACAATAAAAATAATAAATTTTATAAAGACAACTAGGGATCAATATATATGTAAGTAACCTAGCTAGCTATAGTAAATACATAGAATGTTTTAATGCTATAAAAGGTATTGAAACAAGAAAGTCAAAACTACAAAAACTGAGGTACTTAAAATTAAATAAAGAAAAAATATCCCTACTATCGCAAATTACTGTAATTATGTTAGTCTGAGCCAAATTAGTGATAATTTTTTTTAGATTTTAGATAACTCGATTTCTTCAGTTTTAACTTTCTTGTTTCAATAATTTTTGTGGCATTAAAACTTACTATATTACTATAGCTAGCTACGTTACGTATACATATATATTGATCCTTACTTGTCTTTATCGAATTTAATTTTTCTATTACACTTGTTATAAATTGTAGGTTAATATAATATGTGAACTCACCATATTCACATGATAAAATAAAAACAGAAACTTTAATAAAAATGATGTTTTGTTTGGACAAAAACATGATGTTATAATTATATTTCAGATTTCTCACCAGACTACAAAAGTGGTATTTAAAATTCTGTGATATTTCTTCATTCTCTTAACAGAAGGGTAATGATCATAAGTGTAACTTTCACGATAGAACGGGGGACATGCCCCATTTTTGAAAACAATGTTACGTCACTGGTAGTGCCCTCAAGATTTTTGCTTGGATGTTAATTCTAATGAACTATTATACACGAGGGGGGGGGGACTTAGGGAAGTATTCCCCCGCTTTTGTAAACAAAGTTTATTACTTCGACATGTAATGAAATAATTTCTGGAGATACGAGTCTAATATTTAGGCCCTGTTTGTGAAATAATAAAGCCGAAAGTTATTAATATTGTGATAAATAAAAGTGGGTTACAGTCATATCAACTGTAACAATGTAAAATATAAAACGCTGTTGATCATAATGTTTCTGTAATTCTTCACTTACAAGATAAACGACTTATTGTTTAAGTCTTATAACACGGGTTAAACTCGCATTACTGAAATTAAGCAGAAACTATATCATCTTTAGTCCGCCGAAGCCATCTTTAGGCTTAGCGCTACTGATTACAATTCCGAAAGAAAGAGTTAAGCCTACCTGGACGTATATCTTTTACAAGAAACAGGGAGGAACTAACGTAAGTCACTTAGACAAGTTAACATTGTTTATTAATACTTTTCAAGTAAAATATCAAGCTGTATGAACTCAAAGGAATTGTTCTATAGATATCGCATTTCTTAAATATTACTTTAAGATACTTGTCCTTGCACTCGTGATATTCAAAATATGGAAGACTCGACAGAAACAAAAATAGCGCTCAGAAAAGAAGGCTCAGTAACCCGAGAGCTTTCGGAAAGTGAACTTTTCTCGTAACCACTCGGTTGAACGTCTGATCTCATCGTTTACGACAACCAATATTTGTCTGATATTAAGGTTTCAAGTTTCTTTAACAAATAGCAGTGAATATCCTTGTACGCCTCTAATTTGACGCCAAAATTATCTATTATTTAACTCTTAAACTACCGACATAATTTTATACTATTCAATATCGGTTGGGTCCACATTGCATTATATTGAGTAATCATTTTCAATTTGCTTGTTACATCACCCAGTGTAAAAAAACTGACCACAAAGAATGAAAAATAACTTATTATTTTTTTCTATAAAACCAGCATTAACTAGTGGAGATCATTGCAATATTAATGGTTTGTGTGTGTCTGCCATATTATCAGGGGGCCCGGCATGGCCAGGTGGTTAGGGCGCTCGACTCGCAATCTGCGGTTCGCGGGTTCGAATCCCCGTCACACCAAACATGCTCGCCCTTTCAGCCGTGGGGGCGTTATAATGTGACGGTCAATCCCAC